TTATCCAAAATATTGGACACTTGGTATCAAAATTGAAACATTCTTCAAAGCCTATAAAGAAAAGCCATGTTGGGAAGCTAAATAATGTTGTTTTGGATATAAAAAAAAATCACTGCCAATCTCTACAATGAAGAATAACAAATGTTGATACATACATACATTCATACATATGTATATGTATGTATGTAAACTTATGCATTTTATTAGGTTTCAACAAATGCAATGGTTATGTTTTTTCGCTGAGTCACATTAAGAAATTTGGCATATATCCGACTTTCCTCTTCTTCTTGTAGTAAAAGGCCTAAAAAGAGACAAATTAGAAGATTATTTCCGCAACTATTTTCGGAGCATACCTGCAAAACTGGCGGATACGAAACACACTATGCTGCCAACAACAAAAGCACGCATTGCAACCGATGTTATAATATATCTTCTATTTGGGGCCATCGCACTAAGTGAACCAATGAGTATGCCTAAGGCGCCTGGATTCGCGAAACCACAAATGACAAATGTCGTTATGCCAATGCTGCGAGCCTGTTAAAATAGAAATACGAGTAATGGACTTATCGAGCACATTATCACTTACTTCCAGTTGGCCATTTTTAATGTATTCTCCCAAACGCTCATAGGCTACAAATTCGTTGATTATAGACTTAGTAGCCACAATTTTTGCCACAATATCACAGTCCTTGTTAGGCACACCCATAGCCCAAACTAATGGAATAAATAATTTGGAAAATATCCATTCAAAATCAATGTTTTCCAATCCCACCAAAAAACTGAACCAGTTAACGATGGCATTTAGAAAGGCCACAAATGCAACAAAGGCGACAATGTTGGCTATAATACCCAATACAATGGGTACGGCATTATTAGCTCCATTAGATGCCGCATCCAGAATTGATGAGTCTTCTCTGTGTTGTTATGCATGTAATGGAAAAAATACTTCGTTATAATTGTATGTAGATGTCGTATATGTCATAAATTTCTCCCAGGGTAGGTTGATATAGAATGCACAACTCCATATGAATTGGAACACAGCAAATATCCGAGCTGCTGTCTCAATTGCGAATCCTCATTTGTGTTCACCAACTTGCTATCCTACCTCCTCTAATGGTGTCGCCTTAATTGTTGAGTTCGTGAGAGTACACTATACCCGTTCACGCACGGAAAACTGTAAGAGCGAGACAAGCTGCGGCTGAATGTAGTCCTGAGTGTTGATGAGTGTTAAAGAGTGAGTGAAACAATAATGTTTGTGTATGAAGTTGAAGTTCTACTTTCCGAGTGTATTGGTTGAATGAATACACTCGGCTGAAGAACAAGGCAGTATCCATTTGATAGCGAACGATTACACAACACTCAGGAATTCATTGTTATATGGCCAGTGCAGCACGACACCATTGGCATGCAAAATGGAGGATACAAATAAAATTACAGACATGGAAGCTACTCCGGCACAATTGGAAGTGGGAGCTATCCTTCCACATCTTGGAGCTGCTCCGGCGGTGGAGGTTGCTCCGATTGCTATTCCGGCAGCACAAAACACTACTCCGGCGGCACAGAATGCTCCGGCCATGGAGGTAAATCCGATATCAGAAGTGGGCTCGGCCCAAACTCCTACATTTTCTAATGAGCAATGGCGTTTTTCCTTGAAATGCAAAATCGGAATTTGGCTGAGATTGTTAAAAATATGCAGGCATCGACTCGTGTGGAGACACAAAATACTGCTGTTGCATTACCAAAATTTAACCCTGATGGAATGGGTGTCGACGCATCGCAGTGGTGTATGAGTGCTGATATAATATTATCAGAAAAGCCTCTTGAAGGAAGTGGCTTAGTGAAGGCATTGAGCAATTGCATGGAAGGTAGCGCTTCACAGTGGCTAACACAAATTTCATACCCTGGTATGAAATGGGAACAGTTTAAGGAACTGTTCATGCAACGATACGAAAGCGAAGAGACGCCAGCAGCCATGTTTTTTGAATTTGCTGAATAGTCGTCCGTTGGTCGGCGAATGCCATGCAGTTTTCGCCAGTCGTTTGGTGACGTCATTAACCACGAAGTGGCGCAGTATGAACATTGAAGAGATAGCTGTCTCAACAGTACTTGCACATATGGCAAATTTTGATACTCGCTTACAGCGACTAATTTTCACAACAAATGTTAGAACGAGAAGCAAGCTACAATTAGAGTTGAAGGCATATACGTTTGACAAGAAACGTAGTGCTGGTGTTTCTGAATGTACTGGGCCTAACACGAAGAAAGCGAAGGTGTCTGCTGTGCTTTGTCATTTTTGTAAAAAACCCGGACATAAAATAGCTGAATGCAGAGCAAAGATGCGACAGAGTGCGGATACGAAGCAACAGAAGGAGAAGTCTAGCGTGTCATGTTATCGGTGTGGTCAACCTGGACATTTTGCTAACCAGTGTTCTAAAAATACGACTGCAGCAAAACAGGGGGTGATTCAACAAAAGAGCGTAAATCAGTGCTTGAAGGAAGAACCAAAAGCGAGTATGGTACAACGAGGTGAGGTCTATACAATTTGTTTTGACTCGGGAGCCGAATGCTCATTAGTTAAAGAAAGTATTGGCCTAAAATTATCTGGCAAACGTATTCACAATGTTGTAATATTACGGGGAATCGGTGATGGGGGAATATACAGTACATTACAAATTTTAGCCAATGTTACTATTAATGAAAATGCATTTAAAGAATGATATTGTCATTGGTCGCGAAATCCTTAAACAAGGTTTTAATGTTATCTTGTCTTTCGATAAATTTGAGTTTGTAAAATCAAAATCTGTCGATATATGTGTTGTGTCTAGGCAATCTAAAAGATATCGACACTGAATTAACCGGTAATGACAAAGATTTATTAAGTAAATTAGTTGAACAATATGAGACATCGTTTATAAATGGAACTCCTTGTACAAGAGTTAGTACGGGGGGAGATGAAAATTCGGCTAATAGATTCTAATAAAACAGTACAAAGGCGCCCGTATAGGCTCAGCCCTAATGAGATATAAATAGTTCGGGCTAAGTTAAACGAATTAATGCAATGTAATATTATCCGACCTAGTTCATCTCCCATTGCTAGCCCTATTTTACTTGTGAAAAAGAAAAATGGATCAGATCGACTCTGCGTTGATTATAGGGAACTTAACTCAAACACAGTGTCTGATAAATACCCTTTGCCGCTTATTAGTGATCAAATTGCAAGACTTTGTGGTGCTAATTATTTCACTTGCTTGGACATGGCTAGCGGTTACCACCAGATCCCAATCCATCCAGATTCTGTCGAATATACTGCATTTGTCACTCCTGAGGGGCAATATGAGTTCTTGACAATGCCTTTTGGTTTAAAAGATGCACCGTCTGTTTTCCAGCGTGCAGTTATGAATGCGCTCGGAGATCTGGCTCACTCATATGTAATTGTTTACATGGATGACATTATGGTAGTGTCACCGACAAAGGAACTGGGCCTGGAAAGGCTTAAAATTGTTTTAGATGTTTTAACTGGGGCTGGATTCTTTTTCAATGTAAGTAAATGTAGCTTCCTAAAAACTGCGGTACAGTATTTAGGGTATGAAATAAGAGCAGGTGAACTTAGACCAAATCCAGGTAAAATTCTTGCCTTAAGCTCCCTGCCGCCGCCGCAATCCATTACAGGTGTGAGACAGTTCATTGGGTTAGCTTCATATTTTCGCAAATTCGTACCTGGTTTTTCTCAGATAATGAAACCATTATACTCCCTAACGTCACAAAAAAGTTCTTTTGAGTGGAATGCAGATCTGGAAAAGGTTCGAAAGGAAATTATTGCCATTCTCACAAACGAGCCAGTTCTTGTAATTTTCGACCGTCAATATCCTATAGAACTACACACGGATGCGAGTTCTTGCGGTTATGGTGCTATGCTCTTGCATAGAATTAACAACAAACCTCACGTAATTGAATATTTTAGCAAAACGACTACCTCCGCTGAGTCTAGGTACCACTCTTATGAGTTGAAGACGTTGGCGGTCGTTCAGGCCGTTAAACATTATCGGCATTATTTGCTTGGTCGTAAGTTTACACTGACTGCAATTCTCTCAAGGCATCGCGTACTAAAATAGATCTGACTCCAAGAGTGCATCGCTGGTGGGCGTACTTACAGTCGTTCGATTTTGATATTCAGTACCGTGAAGGTAAACGCATGGCTCATGTTGACTTTTTGTCATGAAATCCTATTAAAGCGAACTTTGAGTTAATGTTAAGCAAAATTCCTGAGAAGCGAGTAAATTTGGCGGAAATTTCATGTGAATGGCTTCACGCTGAACAGCAATTAGATGCAGACATAGCTGGCATTGTAAATAAATTAAATTCGAATGAGCTTACAGAAGATTTGTCCAAATCCTATGAGTTGAGGAAGGGAATCTTATTTCGCAAGGTTCAAAGGAATAATAGAACCCTTTGCTTACCCGTTGTTCCGGGCGCATTCAAATGGTCAGTTATAAATCAGGTGCATGAATCAATAATGCACTTAGGGTGGAAAAAAAAACACTTGACAAAGTCTATCAATACTACTGGTTTGATAACATGAATAAATACGTTCGAAAATTTGTTGATAATTGTATAACGTGCAAAACTGTCAAGGGTTCTTCGGGGAAAAAGCAAGCAGAGCTCCATCCAATTCCTAAAATAAATGTGCCTTGGCACACAGTACATGTTGACATAACAGGAAAGTTAAGTGGGAAAAGTGACCTCAAAGAATATGTGATCGTGCAAATCGATGCATTCACTAAATACGTTTATTTGTTCCACGCTTTAAAGTTAGATACAGAGAGTTGTATGAAAGCTCTTAAGTCTTCTTAAGTCTTCTTTGTTTGGGGTTCCCAACCGTATCATTGCTGACCAGGGTCGATGCTTTACTAGCTCGAAATTTTCAGAATTTTGTTCATCACAAAATATAAAACTTCATTTAATTGCTACAGGGGCGAGTCGCGCTAACGGGCAAGTTGAGCGTGTGATGAGCACGTTGAAGAACTTGTTGACAGCAGTAGAATCCAGTAACCGATCTTGGCAAGACGCTCTCGGCGAGGTTCAGCTCGCTTTAAACTGTACCACAAACCGTTCTACTGCAGCAAGTCCCTTGGAATTGTTGATTGGTAAGGAGGCTCGTCCTCTCGGTTTAATACCACCATGCGATACTGAGGTTGCAGTCGATGTAGCAAAAGTTAGAAATAAGGCTTCTGAGAATATGGGAAATAGTGCTGCGTACGATAAAATCAGGTTCGATAAGGGTAAAGCACCGGTTGTGAGATACAAGGTTGGTGACTATGTGCTATTGAAAAAACGAAGAGAGACACCAAACCAAATTAGATGCAAAGTTTAGAGGTCCATTTTTGGTGATTGAGGTTCTGGATGGGGACCCGACATAGATATGTAAAATGTGCGTGAGTATCAATGTAAGTTAATATGTAAAATAAAGAACCAACAAATCGTTCTACTGACATTTTTAACCTTGGACGTGCTTCATTCTTTTGACCCTGTCTGCAGGCTTTTTAGTCGAAACGGCTAATATCAACTTTGAATTTAAATAAGTAACAAACAACAGTTAAAAACGGAAAATACACATTCATTTCATTGCAGTTATTCCGAAAAAACATTAGTACAATAAGATTAACGATATTTTATAGTACAACTAGGGTTGCACAATCGCTCATAAAAACATGGGTGTTAAGATTGTTCGATGTTGCGGAAATGAAATATCGATGTGTCTAGCATCGATAGTTTGAACGATGTATTGATGTTCGTTGATTGTTTTTTTTTTTTTTATTTTAATAAAACGAGTCATACATAAACATGAGAAACCCTTTTTTTTAATTCTACGGTTGTACTTAAATAGCATACAGTCAGTCATTAAAGTTTAGGTACAGCGAACTTTTTACAATACCGGCAACTATTTTTTAAATATTTTATTTTTCGCAAATTTTTTATAAAAATATGGTTAACTCTACACCAACAACCCCAAAAATCAGAGTTCCAAACCTTATGCTAAATTAAAGAAAATTCTGCAGATTTCCATCCAAATATTGCACATTTTATTTACACTCTTTAAAAAAAAAAGTTGAGTACGCAGTATTTTTAGCCCATTCAATTTTAGTATAACAAAGTGCAAGTTTGAGGTAGCTAGGACTTACCAGTGATTTTTAGCATTTTGTTTGTTTGTTAAAGGAGTCGTTTAGATCCTCTATATAAAATAAAGTTCGATAATTTTTTTATATGGAAAAAATGAGCGACACCTTCAACAAAATAATTTTACAAAAATCCATGGTAAGTCCTTCCTTCCTCATACTTGCACTTCATTGTTCTAAAATTTAATGGGCTAAAAAACTGCAAACTGAACTTTTTTCTAGAGAGCGTAAATAAAAAGTGCAATATTTGAATGAAATTTTGCAGAATTTTCTTTAATTTTACACAAGGTTTGGAACTCTGATTTTTGGGGGTTTGTTGTAGACTTAACCATATTTTTATTAAAAATTACTAACTAAACTAAAATATTTAAAAAATACTTGCCCGTATTGTAAAAAATTCGCTGTACCTAAACTTTATTGACTGACTGTATATATATGTAGTTTAAAAACTGTGATGTACCGGTGCTTTGCTATTTCCAAAGGAGCACTGCAATTGTTGGTTGGAATTTAAGTGTGCTCTGCCCAATCCACAAGAAAGGCGACCCGCCATTCGCTCGGGATCAGCCTTCTAAGCATAGGTTACAAGGTCTTATCGAGCGTATTGCATGAAATTTGAGGCCCACCGTCAATGAACTGAATGGGCCTTATCAGTTTGGCTTTAGACCTGGCAAATCCACCATAGACCATGTGTTATACCCGGATAATACCCGTGAGAAAAGGATTAACACTCACCACCTATTTGTCGACTATAAATCCGCTTTCGATAGCACTGAAAGGAGTTGCCTATACGCCGCGATGTCTGAATTTGGCATACCTTTGAACCTGATACGGCTGTGTAAAATGACGTTGAGCAATACCACCAGCTCCGTTAGAATTGGGAAAGACCTCTCTGAGCCGTTCGGTACCAAACGGAGTTTCAGACAGGGCGACTCCCTTTCACGTGATTTCTTTAATCTGATGTTGGAGAATATTCCAAAAGTGTTGCTGGCGTACGCCGATGACATCGACATCATCGGTAACAAGATTCGCGAAGTCTGTTATACCTTTTCCAAGTTGGATATGGAAGTAAAGCGAATGGGTCTGGTGGTAAACGAGGACAAAACGAAGTATCTCCTTTCATCAAACAAACAGTCAGCATATTCGCGCCTTGACACCCACGTCACTGTTGACAGTTATAATTTTGAGAAAGTAGAGAATTTCGTTTACTTGGGAACCAGCATCAACACCGATATTAATTTCAGCATGGAAATCCAACGCAGAATCACTCTTGCCAACAAGTGTAACTTTAGACTGAGGAGGCAATTCAGGAGCAAAGTCCTCTTTCCTCGTACGAAAACCATACTCTTATAAGTCACTCATCATGCCCGTGTTGGTATAAGGCGCAGAAGCATGGACAATGACAACATCCGATCAGGCGACATGGTGCAGCGAATTAAAATACAGTGGTCCCGATGGCTCGGCCATGTCGTTCGAATGGACTCCGACGCTCCAGCCCTGAAAGTATTCAACTCGGAATCCGCTGTTGGTATCAGAGGAATGGGAAGGCCCCCCTGCTTTGGGAAGACCAAGTGGGGAAGGACCTGGCTTTGTTGACTGGCGCGCTTTGTTGAGCTCGGCCAAAATCGTTGAGGCAGTTGCAGCGCCAAATAAGAAGACCGCATTTGTAAGAAATTTTTTTCAGATAACAATTGCAAACGCAGTGAGGATTTTAAACTATGCAACTTAATTGTTTGTTTTTTCACGCGAACTTTGACATACCTAGACATTTATCCAAAATATTGGACACTTGGTATCAAAATTGAAACATTCTTCA